ACTGAACCCCGATTCCCTAGATAGCAGCCCTCTCCATAGCTAGTGCACAGTCCACTGCATCTCTTTAAGGGGCTCTTCGGCCCACCCTAGGGGCATTTATTTACAAAAGGAAACACAGCAGAAAAACATTGCTTTATTTGACTGAAAAAGGGAGAAGAGCTTGGGTTACTGCATTAACATGAATCAACTTGGACACTCAATGTGTGTGCGTATGTGAGTGAATCAGTGCTCCCCCTCCTGTCTTACTGGGCTCCCTGCACCAATTAATGACAGCCTCATTTGCAACAGCTCACTCAACCCTGGGTTGGTCTCCAAATGGGGCTCATTTCCATAGATGCGGTGGTAAGATAATGACAGAATGAGGGAAAATCATTGGTGCATCCACGGTGATAGGGTCTGGGAAGGAGATGGGAGCGAGATCCGAGTCAGACTCAGCATTGTTTCTAGGAGGACAGTGGACGTAACTAAATACTGGTGGGGGCAGGATGTGTGAAAGCCGACTGGATGGACGCAGACCCCAGATTCCCTGTGACCAATGTGGGGGTCCCAGTGGAGGGTTCCTTTACACCTTGTTGCTTTGTTGTGCAAATGCAGCCCATACTCTTAACTAAACTATTGCACAAGAACAGAGAATTTGACAAAGAGCGCAATGTGGTCCCAGGCTGACTGTTGGACAGTTGAATCATCTTGTGTTGGAATGACCAGATATAGAAAAAAGAAATAGTGAGTAAGGACAAGGAGGAGACATCAATCCCTATCTTCTCACCATCGTCTCCCTCTGCAGTTGTAATGAGCTTACTAATAGGGTTTATCATTCTATGTCTTGTCTTTATATTTGTCCCTCATTCTTTTTCATGTTGACCCACAAACACAAATGTTGTGGTTGTGGAATAGGTCAACTAAGCTGAGATAATCCTGCATCTTTGCAACCAGTTTCAGTCCCACCAAGAACAAGAGATGTCTATGAGCTTGACGATAAGCTTTAACTCCACTGTCTGGGCACTGGAGTCAAGTGTCTGATAAAATGTAATCGCAAACTGTCAGCCCCATCAACCACCTGCCAACCAAACCTGGCAGATCTGAATCAGGCTGACCGAATTACCATAATGTCAGTGGGTACAACAAAGACTTTGGAGTCATCGAACCATTTCCGTGGGAAAGGACCGAAGCATAGTTGAATGCACCAACGCTGTAGTTGCTTGCTGGTAGGTCCACCAGGCCTGACCCTGGAAGCTGGAAAAGGTCCTGGACAAGAACCTGGCTGGGTCATCCAGTATCTTAATTTTCATCCAAACCTCTTTGATGCATCCAACGTCAAGCAGTTGCTTTGCCCTCATTTTATTTCCTTTCCTCAACAATGTCAAGCCCCCTTAAGGTAACTCAAACCTTCTCAGAAAACATCTCCCCCTCTTGGCCACACAATGAGCCTCCTTCAGCCTTCCTTGCTCCATGATGCACAGGGTAGATCAGGCTACCAGCTGCCCAGCCAGTTCTTTTTGCTCTAGCTACAGAGTGAGGCGATAAAAAAAAAAATTCTTAAATCCCCCACCCATCCAAAACGCACCAAATCCCTCAGCAGCTCCCGGTGTGACCTTGTCTTTGTAGCCTACCCCTGCTTTCATGCCTTGGTAACCCCTTGTTCTTCTTCCCTCAGATTGGCACAACTCTCGGTGTTGCCGATCCACCAGTGAACTCTGGATACTGCTGCACTCTGGGAGGTTATGCTGCCCAAAAGTAAGGCCACTAAGGAGATGGAAGTTTTAAGCCTTGGTTGGACAGAGCTGTGCGTGAGTCTGCGAGTGTGACAGCAATGCCAGATTTGGCACGTGTAGGTTTCACCTGTAGGCGTGACAGGGTTAGGCTAGCACTTCTAAACGTGGTGAAACCAATAAGGCATGATACTTTCTATCAGCCAAACTGTTGCGGTGATCCAGGTGGCAGTCTTGCATGTGGCTGTCTGGCTGGATAGACTCCAGTTGGATGCTAGCATTTGCCTAGGTTCTTGGTGAGGTCTCCGCAGTGGCTAGTCCCTAGTGTGAGTTGGGTAAAATACACAACTACGGCAAGAAAAGAAGAATAGTTACAAGAAAGCACAGCAAAAAACAGAAAAGGCAACAGACGAAGGTGAAATAAACAGGTTACAAGGTTAGCTTTATCAGACAGACCATACTGGTTGTTATGCTGTACCACTCAAATTTTGCAGGTTCAACAGCTGGGACAAAATAATGCAGGTGTATGATGGACTTTGGATTAAAACTAAATGAGGACATAACATGGGGGACCTCTGCTGTTAACATCATTAACATTAACATACCTCTGCTCATGTCAGATGAACCGTGTAATGTTACGTCCACTAACAATAAAACAAATGTCATTAAAAAGAGAAACTTCATTACCATGGCAGCTTGGGGTACATGAAGACTCAATTAATTTCATGTAAAGCCTTGGCTGCTTTTTATTTATTTATTTTTTAACATTTTTCAGTATGGCATTCAACAGAATTTCACATAATGGTAAAATACCATTACTCGTAACACAAATCACACACTTTTACAATAATATTCTATATCCATGTTCATATAACCATTAACACTGAATTAATATCCATGGCACAAGCCAATGGCCCTCTTTAAACTCTGAAAACACCATTATACAGACCCAGCAATAGGTAAATATGTCAGCACCTGTTCTGTTAACAACATTTTGGCACTAGAGGCCAGATGTCCTTTGGGAGCAGAACAGAGAGGATCACGAGTCATCACCACAACCAGAACACAATAAGAACAAAATATGAGCAATGAGAAACTTGTAGAGACACAGGCACTGCTGAAAGACGGGAGAAAGGGGATGCTGGAAGCGAACACACTATGGTTCGCAGATGAGAATGAAAGCAAACATTGTAGGACATTAGTAAGCATTATGGGGATTTACAATTTTCAGTGAAAAGTAAAATTACACGGGGAGTAAGTAAATAAATGTGGCAACAATATGGTATAATCATAGGATTTGGACAAAAATATGACAGTCAAGCTCAATTTCCAGTGATAGGACACAACCGAAACAGTGATGGGACTTTTAAGCATAACAGAGTCAGATTAGAGAGCCAGAAGCTGGACTTCTCTGTGATAAGACAATAACAGATCATCAGTGTGACATATGTGGTTACACTGAAACAAAGCTGTCTAAATATCTGACAATATCCATGCAGTAGTGCTAATATATATAACAACTTTAGCTTATCTGAACCTCTAATGGATTCTGAGCTCCGTTAACACCCTCCACTGGGATAGGGTTGCATAGGGACAGCTTGGTAACTAGAGAGGGAGTCTATACTATATTAGTCACTCCAACATTAGAGCCATTCTGCTGGGAAATGGTATGGGAATGAACAGGACAAGCCCTGGTAATCCAATTCCTGAAATGTATAGACTGGTATGTGCTGACTGTGGTTAAAAAAACAAGTCCAAAAGACTGAATGTTAAAATTAGTCCATATCTGTGCAACACATTATAGTTGTCATTTAGTTTGATATTAAGAAAGGGCATGGTTTAAGTTCATCAAACAATTCTCTTTGGTAAGGGAACAGGTACTTACCGAATGCACTGACAGTCATTTGCAAGCTATAAAATACGTGCACAATGAGGTTATTTGTGTATGGCTTCCCTTAATGTTTCATGCTCAACAAATGACAACAGAAATATCTTCAACTTCCTTTAAACTTGTAATATGTCAAAATTTAAAATAAAAAAATTAATTAAATAAAAGTCAAAATTAAATTTATCAGTGTGCACATTTCCACTTTTAAAATAATAAAAAGCATATCTACTCAATAAAAATTAAATATGGCTTAATTCTCATTATTATTGGTCCCCTTGGGTTTTCCTTTTCTGTAACATGGGTGTGATAATAATCAAATGCAAGTTCATAACCCAACAGCACATGATCTGTCTTAAACATCAATGAGAGTATGGCACCTACATATTCCAAGGACTCTTTCCACTAGTGAGAGAGGAGACTAGGGGATTGCAGTCGGTCTGTGGCCATAATAGGGGGAGCTGTGTTTTTGAATGTAAAGTGTGTAAACCTTAGAGGGCTTCAGGGTTGTATGTGACCCTGTTGTAATTCAAGCAGCAAAGAAGTGGCAGAGAAAAGACCTAAAGTGTCTGTCTCCCTTTCTCTAAGCATTCACAATCTGCATCTACATATTTTTTTCCTTGTATTCAGTCATTTTGGCATTTTTCAAGTCTAGCCAAGATGTCTATCCATTGTTAAGTGATTTTAAAAGAGAGCATTGCTTAATAAATCTAGACAGCAGTGTCTTGAGCTTATTGAGCAAAAAGCATGTATAGTTTAAATGATTAAATGCAAATATCTGGGCACTCCTACCCCACTGTAGGTACACAAGTAAATTAAATGCAGTGAATGTGACTGCCATTTCGGCATGATATTATATATATATATATATATATATATATACAGTGTCTTGGTATTGATTTAGCAAGAAGCTGCAGTACATAAGATTTTGGTGAAAAATTGCCTTACCCTGATTTAAGTTTATAATAATTTATCATTTGAACTTTCAGATTTCGCAGGAAATGCTACGTTCATATAATTCCTCTTTGTGTGGCTACGTGATGTCTGTAAATAAGGAGAAAAATGTTTGGCTATTACAATGCATGTATGATGTGGTGGGAGATGTGTTAGTTCTGATAGCTTGTAGCCATAACTACTCAGGAACATTATAAATACAATGGATCATTCAAAAATAAACCATATGAGGGATCATATAAGCAATCACTTTCCACTACAGTGGAAGACTATTACCTGCTCAAAAGACATTATTAATGGATATTTTTTTCTTTTAGGAGGGGGCGAGTTTTGACATTGCTAATGACATTTGCTCTTACAAAACTTACATACTGGTAAAAAATGTATAGCCTGAATGCACTGTAAGTCGCTTTGGATAAAAGCGTCTGCTAAATGCATAAATTATTATTATTATTATTATTATTACAAAAGGATTGCCCGTAACCATGGTTACACCGGTATGCCTCAAACTATCATATTCAGCCATGCTGAAGAGCTAAGTCGAAGCCCAAATCACATAATTACTAGAATAATGTCCCTCCGCGAGTAACTTGGAATTTTACACCTCAGCTACTAGGGGGCCAAATATTCCATACTGCACCTTTGATAAATGCTAAAATATTCTTTAGAGTAGAGGCATGTATGCAGTTGTGGGTAATTCCTGAGAAGCAGTCTCATAAACACACAACAAGAAAAATTATTACGTACACACATTTTTTCTTGTATACATACATCCACAGAGCAGTGAAAGTTAAAAGGGTTTTTTAAATTCTGATCCAACATCTGTTTTTAGGGATCATTTTTAAATAGAACTGAAGATTCTGGACAACCAGAGTGGCAGTTTTTCTCTGTCCTCAACATAAAGCATGCTGATCTGTGCACTGTTCACAGCATTCACATTGCCTGTATTGGAAGATTGTTAAGGTAAGGTATTCCAATAATTCTGGAAACAACTCAACCAGTAATTTTTCCAAAGAGTGCTCAGTTGTTGCTCTCTTTTCTGTCACTGTGTCTTGGACACCACCAAGATTTCATCTCCATCTCGTATACTGTAGGAATGAAGTGCTCGTGCTCCATATTTCATTTCCTGAGGCTCTAGTGGGTAGCCAAGCTGCCGGTCGATATAGTACACACGTATCTTTTTTGGGGGTAGCTGGACCATGGCTCTCAAGTGCTTCTTTAGGTCTGCCACTGTCTGATCCAATCTGAGCTCTAGGGGCTCTGTCTGGTCCCCAAAACGCACCTCTACCTGGACATGACAGAGAGGGCGCAAATCCACCTCTGCAAGTGGGGCTAGGCGGCCATAGCGTGCTACCAAAGTGTGGTACCTGAAAAAAGTGGACAGCAGTGAGAAAAGAAGAACCATGTGAATTTAGCCAATGTATATGCTTGTTCGCTACTACACCCAGTGACCCATTTATGTTAAAACAAAATGTTGGAGTGGATTTTAGTTAAGACAGAAAAACTGTGAAGAAACCAAGAATAGAGAGAATATACGAAAGCTCTGATCCAAAATCTAGGGAACTTGAAACTGTAACAAAAATTATACTGAATAAAAATTAAAGAAATTTTTATATGTTAGATTTTTATGCTTGTTAGCATCACCCTGGTTTATGCATCACCCTGGTTCTCTCGACAAAAAGTTCGACCAGGAGTTCAAAAATGCTAACTTATTCCTGGGTTTTAGGAGTTCTTTCTACAGCACCCTACAGTTAGCTTAACAATATGCTAATCCTATTGGAATCAATTCTGGGTCACACTTTTACATCCCGCAATCTTTGTGCAGAGTTGCTACTTATGTGGACTGCTGCAGTTGTTCCAGTTCAGTCAAAAGTGAGGTTTCATGTCTTAGAAGTCAACTGTTTATTTAGGCGCTGGACTAACAAGGCAACTACAATTTAGAACAGCGCTAATGATCTACAAAAGCACAGGTAAAGCACACTTCTACTTAATATATGCTTGCACAACATGGTATGTTGACATATGCAGACATCTCACCTCTCCCAGAAAGGTACGGGAGTCTCTTGACTTCCACAAATGATATACAACATCTCGGAAATGAAGAGAGTGGGAGAGAAAGCCTATTTCCACCTGGTATTAAGATGTGTTTTTGGAGAAGTGCTCAGCCACATGGTCAGGGGGTACTGTGCCATCTCCTAGAAATGTTTTTTTGCATGGTGGGATGTCTGCATATGTCTGTTTTCATCAAAATTGTCAATCACTCTCAAACATTAAAAAAAGACAGCTCCTCTCAACAATACTAATATCAATGCACCATGGAAGTGACCAGAGTTGTGTGTGTTTGTGAGAAAACGCGGTTGTGTATTTGTGTACCTGTTAGTGTGTCTGTGAAGCACACTGAGTTTTTAAACCGTGAGAAAGTTCTCACCACCACCCCGTCTACCCTCCCTTCTTTCCCATCTTGCTGAAGGATTGTGGGAAAGATAAGAGGAGATCGGCAGGAACAATTAAATAAAATCTCCACAAAAAAGTCTTTTAGCTTTAGAGGGCTACAGTAACCGACACAGCCAATCAAAGTAATTTCCCCAGCCTGTCCAGAAAAGTCTCCCCACAAAGCAGAGCCTGAGCCTGGGTAGGTGCCTGTGGCTCCCTGCCTTCGCCATGGGAATACTGCCCCCTCTATACAAAGTGCCACTCTGTCTGAGAGAAAGAACAGTCTCACTCAAGGGTCTCATTTAGTGTGGCTAAGCTCCTTAATCGAAGGCGAATGGGTGTTCGCTGTGATAACATAGCTGCCTTGGATTCCTTGAACAGTGCTTAGATCAGTCTCAGAGATGGGACCGGACAGTCGCCACCATGCAGTGCACCAGGTTCATAGTAGAGCCATACAGTGAGTCTACTGTAGATACTGCAGTTGTTGATGGCCTCAAAAACAACATGATCCGTTTTCAGGTAGATAACACGCACACAATCACCATTAGCTCAAAATTTAGATACCTACAACATAACATGAGAAATGTCCCCTTGAGACCCAATTAAATTAACTTGTGATTTACCTGTTAGCAATTTGGCTTTTTATCCAAAGCAAGTTTAGTACACATATTACAGTGGCAGTCACCCTGGATGAACTTGGGGGTGGGGAACCTGTCTATTTGAAAGTACAGTGGAGATACAGTTCCTTAGGCTTTGTTCACACTCCACACAGCTGCCGTTTGTGCTTTACAAACTTTAGGACTGACAGTCATTTTGCATCAGTTGAAATCGTATCTGTTTCTTGACACAGTGTAGGCAATAACTAGTATATCTACATGGGTTGCTATAGTAATGACGTAGGTGGTTGCATGAGACCAAGAGCATTGTTTTCTTTTCAAACAACTGAGAGTCACACAAGACAAAATAACAGACAACAGAAGCAATATTTGTCCAAAATATTCACTATACTTTATATTTTATGGATGGGACCCAATGAGTTAGCTTTATTATTGAGGACATTAGTGGGTCTGAGACAATGTTGCCGGTGGTCCCCCCTGACAACAGCTCTAATTTACTATTGAAAAAATGAATTAAAATTAATTCAGACATAGCTTTAGACACTACCTCACATCCTGTATGATGTTACGTGTCCTGATTGACAATAAAAAGTACTTGGAATTTGATCTGATTGCTTAGACTGAAACACATTTAAGTCTGATTTCATTCGTGTTTCAGTCCTGTTCAGACTACAAAAAAAAAGAAATGCTTGAGTTAGATAAATTTGCTGCATGTTTGAAGAAATCGTTATTAACCGAGGTACTGCACCTCAAGCTATCATCACAACCTCAATGTAGTCGCCACTATACCCCTAAATTAATTAAAACGGCAGTAAATGCTTTAATGGGGACTTGTCTACATGTTGTCTATGAATGCTTCTATCTTGACATCTTTAGCATCGACATCCCCCATGATGGATGCTAAAGAGCCTGGTTATGCAATCCACATATCTTCTTAAATTTCTCATTGTCCGTAAAGAGTGATGCACTTAGATTTTCCCTATACATTTACCTTCTTACATCGTTGTTCTCCTCTAGGCCTCTATGTTGTCTTTCACTGTCAAAATGTCAACAAGGTCCCAGGCTATAGTTACTCAAAGACAGTAAGACCAATAGCCCCTTTCATTTTCTTCAACCTCTCCTCCTGTCATCCCTGTCTTTGCATCCCTCCCCTCTGGTCTCATTCCTGTGTTTCCCATTCCTCCCAGGGAGGATCAACGTGCCCATGGCCACGACTCAGGTTTTAGTTACTCAAAGGCTGATGAATGTATAGGGCCCCTTCACCTATTTAACGGTCTCCCTCCTACCCACATAAGCTAGGTAACAAATGTACCTCACAGCTGACCAGTGGATGGTGACTGGGACCAATTTGTTTGCAGCATTGGTACAACTAAACTAAAGCTAAAATATTTAACACTTTTTTTTTAACAGGACAGTACTATGGAAGGATATTCTAGACTATTTTCAATGCTATTTTAGTGCACAAAGTAGTTTTAGAAGGATTTTCATAGGTCAACACTAAACAACATATATAGGCCTGATCTGGGAAATCGTTGTGAGCAATCGAGCAGTGAAAGGTTTGAATTACACTAGCCAGCACTCAAATCTCTATATCTTCTCAGCTTTATAAAGATAACAGTCCCATGCCTACTTATACCTAAAGTTTATGTCTAAGCAACCGTAAATGCGACTAAGGTTACTGTGGAATCACTTTGAAAGTCTCTCAAATGGTTCTATCCATTACTTTATTCCACTGCAGTTTGAGTCTCATAAATTAGGCTGAATGGGTCTCTATACCAGTTACGTCTCATGCATTCAAAGATGGCCCGGTCCAAAGGTTTGTTTGAGGTCAGGGAAGCATCATTTCTTTCTGTCCATCTCTTTCTCTGTTTCTCAGATCTTTGCCCTCTTTCAGAGTTTTATCACAGAGTCGGTAACAAAGCCTAAGCTCTGATCTGCGCCCAAAGGGTGGGGGAAAGAGCAGGCTGGGTTCAAAAAGGGGGCAACCTTAACCCATATCTAGAGTTTACCATCTACTTCTACACCTGCCCTTTCACCCTCCAGTGCCAACTCTCATCTCAAACTCTTCCCTCTGGGAAATGGCTTTTCCTCCAGAAACAGACAGAAAGGGACAGAGGAAAAAAAGAAATCGAGGTTGTGGATGGAGTGAGGAGGTCAGAAATGAGGGGCCGGGTTTTAGTTTACATAGGTGATTTAAAGAAAGACTCTAAAGAAGTGGTCCCGGTGGGCACAAGAAGAAATAAATGAAAAAGTGAGTTGTTAAGGAATGGTTCACGCAGTCATGAAAACTTTCTCATGTCTTTGAAACCCATTTGATTTTCTTTCTTCTTTCAAACAATTAAAGTGAATGGTGACCACAGCTGTCAATCAAAATTTTTGTCAGATTTCCAATAAATAACCGCATACATTTCAGTGTGTTCCTCACTCACTTCAGAAGACTTGGAATATAGTGCACTAGTTGTATGGACAACTTTTATAACTTTTATGATATTTGTACAGTGTTTGACAACCCCTGGTCCCCATCCACTTTCATACTGTGGAAGAGAGCAGCTCAGTCTGCTAAACTTCTCCTTGATCTCCTTGATATGAAGTAAATGATGACAGAATTTTCATTTTAGGCAAACTATTCCATTAGTATGGAGCCCAGCACATAACATAAAAAAATGACAAAAAATAAGATGCTGTGGCCACGAATTAAGAAATTGTTCCTGCGACTTATTAATTTGTGGCCACATTGTACTAATTTGTTCCCTTCTTTTAACGGAGTTAAAATTAAATCAAGTTAAAATCATTTCCACAATTTAACAATTTGACTTAATCAGGGGAACAAATGAATGTCATGGGATAAATTCGTAATTTGTGTTTTTTTATGTATTTATGCTATGGTATTTAGTTTTCTCTACATGTCACTTGTGGGGCTCTGTGTTTTAGTTGTATAAAATTTCAAGTGAGAGGAATGTCAATGTTATCATGTTATCAGGGTTTTAAAAAAAACTCTTAGTTTCTGATACTTTAGGCAGATGATAAAAGGCCACTATTTCTGAGAAAGGCCCATTTCCACCTCGTCTCTAGTTTCCCGACCTTCTATAGCTAGAGCGGGAACTGTGTCATAACTGTTTAGACAACTTAATCAATTCACTAGGTCTAAGAGCCATTCCAGAACAAAGGCAACACCATCTCCATCTCTCAACTGAACAAACAGGAGAGAATGAGTCAAGGACGTCATTCCATCCCCTTTTGAAAAAATTCTCCAGCTAACTCAATCCCCCCCAAAGCAAATGAAAAGGGGCAGGAGAGAAGAACAGGGAGGGAGAGGGGGATATAAGGAGGGGAAGAACGAATAAAGCTGCCACCTTGTGTATCGATTTTCTGATTGGGGTATTCCAGTACAAAGGCGTCTTTGAGGAGGCAGAGAGTGGACACATTGTCTCCCAAAGGTTAGAATCCCCTGCTGGAAGCTGGGGCCTGCCGCAGTCACTGAAACAGTCCTCCGAACACTCTCCCAGGTTAAGTGGAATGGGGTGTTTTAAGAACGTGGGTGATCCGTTTTCTGTGTCTTTGACCTGCAAAGACTTCCCAAAATATCCCCCCGAAAGTCCCCCAAAAAAAGGGATAAGGAAAGAGGGGATGCCGGAAGACATGAGGGATGGGAGAGTTAAACGTCACCTGGATAACTGGAGATGCCAAACTAAAGAAAAAGAAGTGAAAGGAAAATAGGTTGGAATGTAGTGGATGGCCACCATGAAGAGAGAGAGAGAGAAAGACAGAAAGGCTATTTGTGCTAAACCGGAAAGAGGTGGCTGGGCTCTCCCAAGATTTTATTACATAGCAGCAAAATTTTGTTCCAACTAGAGTAACCACATTCTATAGTAAGCTACTGAGAAACAAGCAATACTGACAATAAAAAACTGCAAGGGCTAAACTAACCTTTAATGTCTGTAGAATGACTGTAAGAGGATGTAACCTAAATTACAGCAAAACACTTTTCAGTGCATTATTCAAAACTGACAATGTTTATTTGTATACAAAAACAAACTGGTGCTCATTAAAGTTCATTAAAGTCAGCATTAAATGAAAATTCATCTCTATTTTCTGAGTGCATATTATTGATCTAATTGTGAACTCATTTGTCCATGTTGTTACATTTTTTGTCCTCATAATTCTTAATCCAAAACTTGATCTTCCATTGAAATGACAGAATTCTGTCCACTGACTTATGCTAGACTCCAATAATTTCATCTGATTAAATCCCACCTCTTTCTTACAATCGACTGTAAACTCAAATTCGGATCTGCCTCCATCCAAATTAACAACCGATGCATAGAAACAATCTCCTGCACTGCATTATTTTCCTTTTCAATAATCAGTTTCACTCAGATGTACTTCACAACACAGAAAAAAAAAAAGATTTGTCCCTACTCCAGTTTCATTGCAACTTTAAACCCTTGTTTAAAGTGGCAAATTTGAAAGTCCCTCTGTATGTTTCTATATAGACTTATTTTATGGATATCCATATATGCTGTAAATAATTAACAGACAGCCTTTTAGTGTTCAATAAAGAAGCATCTTCTTAGGGGTGCTAATTCGGAATAACTAAAACTGCAGAGAGAAACCAAAGAGCTATCAACTTTCAAGCTTTGAGGAAAATGGGTAACATTAGTTATGGGTAACAGATAAGACCCGAGTTATAAAAATAAAAAGAAGCGGTAACATTTTATTTTAAGGTGTCCTTGTTACACATGTTACATGTACTTACTATTATAATAACAATTAATTATGCATAATTACATGCAAGTAACCCTAAGCCAAACCCTAATCCTAACCCTAACATACAGTAAGTACATGTAGTTAATTAATATTACTCAGTACTTAAATGTATAATTACACTGTAACAAGGACACTTTAAAATAAAGTGTAACCAAAGAAGCATATTATTTAAATTATAATAGCGATATTATAGGCTGATTAAATTGAATATTTTCATGACATAGACACCAATCATTTTCTGTACTGTATATAGTAATAGTATATGTATTTTCTGTACTGTACTGTACATTTTCTGTACTTTATATGTCTATAAAGATTGAGAGAGTTGTGTATATGGAGTGTGGTGGCGTGAGGGGTGCAGGTGGGTCACCTCTGGGGTAGCTCATCCTCAGGGCAGTCCAGGTGGTAGCGGATGAAAAAGCGTTCTGCATCCTCTCTTTCTCCATTAGAGACAACACTGCCGTTCAATACAGTCACATGAGGCAACCTTACAAAACACAGAAGAAGAACAATTGTGTGTGAGGAAGGGAAACAGAAAGAGACACGGAATACATGGACGTGTACAACTCCATATCGGTGGCCACATTGATTTGTGTAATCATTTCTAACAATTTCAAAAGTGGCTACTTTTGTGTATGATTACTCACTGTGCTACCATAAGATAACGTCTCTCCTGATCGGTGTAGGGCTGCAGTAAAGGAATACCCATCACTCTGACCTCTTGAAGCTTTGGGAAGAAATTCAGTTTCTCAATGTCCTCCCAGCAACATAGACCTAAAATAACACAACACGTACATATTAGCTAATAATCCATTAAAGGTGTAGTTTACCTAAAAATGAATTCTGTCAATTTTCAATTACTTACCCACATGTTGTTCCAAACACACTAGACTTTGCTTCATCTTCGAAACACAAATGAAGACATTTTATAAAGAATTTTTGTTCAAAACACATCAAGCAAGCACATTTGGGCTTCCCTTTACCATATTAGATGTGTGCGTTGATCAGTGTTTAAATGTGAATAAAAGTCCAAATTAAATCTGTTCATCACATAAAGCAATTGTGTCTTTTCAGAAGACTTGGATTAACCATTCAAGTGGATTCATATGGATTAAGTTTTCTATGTTTTAGGAAGTTTTTGAAGCATCATAGTATTAATAGAATAGACCTTCAATGGAGGGACTGATATCTTTCAAGTTTCATTAAAAATATAATTTGTGTTTCAAAGATGAACAAATATCTTATGGTTTGGAACAACATGAGGGTGAGAAATGTATTTTTGGGGTGAACTAACCCATGATTGTTCAAGAGGTGTACTTAATTTACAACTCAAAACCACAGAAAGGAGATGACCTACTGAATAATAGAAAAAGAACATTTGAAAGCTGCAGTGGAAGGGAAGATTTTCAATGAAGAACTGCTTCAATTTTGGTCTGTTCCTCATACAAAACTACTCAATTTTGTTTAAATTATAAATTAACAGATTATGAAGGGTAATGCTGCAACTAGCTAGACATGTGTGTGCTGATATTCTGTCTGACTCTACAGAGATGAAGTTCATGCAATCCAGCACCTGAGTTGTGTAGGTTGATGCTGCGCAGGTTGGGGAAGAGTCTCAGTAGAGAGTCCTCCGGCTCGTGGATAGATGAGAGGGAGTTGTTTGCCAGAATAAGAGACACCAGGCCTGGATATATAAGGCCCAACTTACGAACCTCCGCCCAATTCTGCAGCTGGTTATCTGTGATATGCAGCAGGCGCAGGGACGGGCACGGTATAGATGATACACTCACGCTCTCATACTCGTTCAGACACAAAAACAATTCCTCCAGCCTAGATACATAGAACCACATGAAAACACCAAGTTTTAGTGCATGACAAAACTACCATTTTCACAACTATAGGGCCATGCGAAAGACCAAAATAATACCTCCATTTTAGGAAAAAAAGTGCATTAAAATACATAAAAATGTTACTTTGGCATAATCTTTGATTTCTTGGGAAAAAATATTTTAACAAAACTGCTTCAATGTTTGGCATAGTTTAAAAAGTTTTAGTTTAAGAGCCTACCAAAATTGGCAAAACATCTTCTCTAGTAATATGTTGCTTGTGAAATTGTATTTTGTCATTATATATGGCTGCTTAAAAATGTAAACTTATTTTGCTCCAAGAATTGTGTAGTTAAGTAATCTACACAGCAGGGTCTAAAATGATCTTAACCTTGAGCTAAACCTTGACCCCTTGGGCCCGACATATTGACTTCAGGCTGAACAACCAGTGTAAGTTTACGGTGGCAGAACCGGTTTGTTCGAACAATGAATGCTTGGAAAAAATTATAACTTTTGCAATGCAGAGACACTGCACATTTAAATCATAAATAATGTATTAAAAAAACATAAGACAAACACATAAAAAAAAGCTCTAAAAAATCTGCGGGGGTTCAGACCGAGGCTACTTAAATGCTATAAAACACACACACACTTACTCTAGGATCTCTCGTGTAAGTGTGTGCACCATGTCCCAGGTGACATGCGTGTTATTGAGCACAAGGCGGCGGAGGCCTGAGAACGCTTCAGCAGCTCCAGGCTCAAGGCTCGACCCTCTCAGTGGATTCATACTCAGATTGAGAAAGTCTAGGTTAGGGATGTTAGACAGGATCTTACTTATCTACAAAGAGAAGAGGAAAGGAGAGAAAAGAATGAAAAACTGACCAAACCCAAACAGTTTGTTTAGCCAAGCTTGTGTTAGGTAGCTGACCTCAACTTCATTGTACTTTTAAATGTTATTGACAGAAAAACGGGCAAAAAAAAAGTCCACAGACAGAAGTCACTTTCAAATTAAACAGCATTCTGTTTGTCAACACCGAATTTGTGTGGAAAAACTGTGCAAAATCTGTGTGGGCAAATTATTTGCCCTTATTCAAAAGAAATGACTGGATTTCATTTAGCCCATGAAATTTTGCAAAAATGATACAAGATCACCCAAAAATGAAAATTTGCTGAAAATTTACTTCAGGCCATCCAAGATGTAGATGAGTTTGTTTCGTTATCACAACAGATTTTGAGAAATGTATTGATGGACAGTTGATTTACTGGAGTCATGTGGATTACTGTGATATTTTTAACAGCTGTTTGAACTCTCATTCTGACGGCACCCATTTACTAGTGGTGATTGGTTATTGGTTAGTGGTTATTTAATGGTGAGCAAGTAATGTAATGCTACATTTGTAATCCAAATCTGTTCTGATGAAGAAACAAATTAATCTACAACTTGGATAGCCTAAGGGTGACCAAATTTTCATTTTTGGGTGAACTACTCCTTTAAGACTTATTTTCTACCAACATCAAAGTATGAAATCTGATAAGACTTAAAGGGGTCATATGATGTTGCTAAAAAGAACATTATTTTGTGTATTTGGTGTATGAGCGGAGGCCGGGGGCTAGAGTGAGGAACGGCGGTGCGGGCTTGAGTGAGCGGAGGCGGGTGGCTTGAGAACGGCACGGCCTGCGGGCAACCACATGTGACGACCCCGGGCTGGACTCCGTTTCGTCCAAAACGAAATATATAAAGAATAAAGAATATCTCTTTGGATTTGAGACTTTAGTCTCTGCAACTTTACAGATCTTCTTTATGCACCAAGAGCTTGTAACACTTCAAAGAGAAAGGAAAAATTAAAATCGCATCATATGACCCCTTTAATACGGTTCTATATGTTAACCATGATTTAACGCAATAATACTTTTACAGCATTTATTAAACTTACTAAATTAATTTGAATTTCTACAAATACTAACAACTTTTTTTTAAGTTGCATAAATTAACATTAAATTCGTTGTTCATTGTTAGCTTATGATACCTAATGCATTAATCACTGTTAATGAACTGAATATTATTGAATCATTCAGTAAGCGTTACCTATATATCTTAATGTGAAATGACATTTTTGCGTTAAATACACAAATGTAAATACACCGAGACAAAACCTGTGACTCAAACACATTTTTATCACCTCTCCCCAGTCTTTTAACTGGTTGTGAGAGAGGTCTAACTCAACCACGTGAGCACAGAAAGTGGCCACCTCCTCTTCATCTCCTGCCTCTGTGATTCCACAACTATCCAGAACCAGGATTCTGGGCAGATTCAGACGATCTAACACACAAATACACAGAGACGTAAACTGCCTTTAAATAACCAGTTAATGTAAATAATTGATGAAAAATATTTTAACTTAATATCTTTGGAATATCCTTTAGTTTTTGGCCCTAGAATACATTTATATAATGATAACAACATGTGTTCTTCAACAGACACAGCAAAACAGTGTTAAATGATAATAACCAGTGTGCCAGGATCCAGATCGTATCTAACACACCCTCGTTAACTAGGAGGCTCAGCATTTCACCTAATGCCAAAAATAAAACTGACCTTTGACAGGTGAACCCTGGGGACTCGACCGGATCACCACTCCAACTCCTGGCCCACGGCAGTATGGGAAGTTTTCCGGGCTGTACTTCTCACTGATCACCTGCACTAAAGTGCGTCCTTCTGTCTCCTCTGACTCCATCTCACCTCTCCTCACACTCTCACACCTTCAGCTGAGCAAACACAAACAGGATTGAGTGTGTTAAGGTGAATATAGCATCAGATTCAGTGAAACAAACAGGTTTATCAGTTATGTGGACCGAGTGGACAGGCATGCACTTGAAAGAAATGGTTTGCTAACATTAGAAGAGAGTTGTCTGGAATTTTGGGCCGGGGCAAAGGTTAGTACAACAAGTTTCAAAGAGTTGACGTTTGGGTCAATGACATTTATGACTGTCCAGGATTTTTTTAAAAATCCTTTAAATATCTAGTTTAAAACATTTCCAGAGTTGTAGAAATGTGTTATATAGTTTTAAAAAAAATGTATTACTATTCACAAGAACAGTTTAAATTTAATGACTCTAAAATTGTCATCTGGTAAAAAAATGTCAAGTAAAAAGCAAAGAAAGACATATTCCTTACACCATGAATAGTGGCTATAGGATCATCAAAAAGGCTTTTAATATATATTTTTCAAGGTAAAAGGTTTTTTTTTTAATATGAACTATTAATTCATAAATATTATTATGTTTTTGGGGAGTTGGACACTCATGGGGATCTGTGGCAGTGTTCTCTATGATAGCATTTCCTGTTTTTTTGTTTGTTTATTTATTTATATAGCACAATTTAATGCAACACCAGGTTGCCCAAAGTGCTTCACAATATCACAATAAAATTACATAAAAACAAGCATAGTCTCAAATAACAACACAAATCACATAACAACATGGACACAATTTAAAAAAAATAAACCTGCATCACAACAACTCCTCATTAGTCTTTAAAAGATGTGCTTTTAACACAGCTTTGAAAACCGGTAGTGAGTTAACGGATCTAATACTATGAGGGAGGTCATTCCACAGTTTTGGACCAGCTTGCAAAAAGGCTCTATCTCCCCTGTGTTTGTATTTTGTCCTAGAAACACAAAGGAGGTGTTGATTTTCGGACCTCAGAGATCTCGTAGGGATATAAACTGATATCATACTTGACAAATACCCAGGGGCTAAATTGTGAAGGGCCATAAAAACGAAAATAAGAATCCTATAAATTATTTTAAGCCGTACCGGCAGTCAATTTAGTGACGCAAGTAATGGAGTGACTGAGTCATGTTTTTTTTGCAGATTTAATCATTCTCGCCGCTGCGTTCTGGATTCTCTGTAGGCGCCCCAGTGCACCACAATCAACTCCAAAATAAAGGGAGTTACAGTAGTCCATTCGAGTGAAAACGATAGCCGTAATGGCTTTCTTCAAATCAGTGATAGATAAAGACGGTTTCGTCTTCGCTAATAGACGTAAATTAAAAAAACAAGATCTCACCACTGTGTTTATTTGCCTGTCCATCTTTAGTTCACTATCCAAAACGAAGCCCAAGTCTTTCACATGGGTTTTCATAAAGCCAGCCAGGTGCGTTGAATTTAAACACTGAGTCACTCAGTTTTTCTGCTTATTAACGCTAGATGACTTTAATTTTGTGAACAAAAGTGTTTATTTTAAAACAAATAAGCAGTGAAACCATTTTGTTAATGTATTTTTCTAAGAAATAATAATAAAGGATTATGCAAAACTACTTGAATAAATTAATTGATAGGACAAAAACTGAGTGTCATGTCGCTGACCCTTTTGTCACATTCATAAGTGTTTTAAATAATCAAAACAATAATACTCCATGCTAAAAAGCAACTGATTCCTATAATAAGAAACAATGTTACAAGTTTAAAGCCAAAAGAGTGAAATCTGTTGACTCACTTTTGATCTGGAAGGCAACTAGGAGCACATTGATGTTGGGTCTCCTGTCGGGTTTTGATCCTAGTCCCCCGATGGCTATGGATGTACAGCATCCAGGAATGGATCTCCTAACCTGCGGCCTTGTGGGTCAGGGCTGGGGGTGTCCCACAGCCCCTGACTCCAAAATACTAACAGAGTGGAAGAATAGACAGAAATGGACAAATGAGATGATGCACATGTGTCACATGGAAAGCTTGTGGTCACAGAACAATCATTCTTCTATCCCTTTATGATGCTATAGACAAATGAGGTAACACCAGCACTGGTATGGAAAGATCTGTCCTTGAAATCAGATCCAATAACGCTTTGTCCGCCTCCCATATGCTGCTGTTTTACACAGAAGCACAATGGGAAAACTCCAGTGGTGTGAACGGATGGGGCGCGCTGAGCATATGTATGAGCCTCTTTTGTCTTGACAGATGAATCTGTAAGTGTAAAGAGATCTTCAATGCTAAAAGATTGGCCTGGTGATTTATTCTGTCTGTGGGTGCCTTTCCATGAGCAGAAGAGTGATCTACATCTAATCTAATCCTCAGAATGAAACCGGCACAGACAGATATCTGTCACAACCTTCTGTGAAGTCCACTCAAAGTACATCTCACAAACTACACTTCAAAGCAAGATTGATCTTGCTCCAAAACCTTGTCTTTCCAGACCAGACAAAGTTTTTTTTTCTTTTTAGAGTGAAAGAGAGAGAGTATAAAACACCCATAGTGGGTGGATGGGACTGCATTACTATTAGAGACCAAAAACTTTGTTTATGTAACTAGCCAGTTTATAATTACCAGTTTGTTTAAAGGGGTCATATGATGCTTTTTTAAAGATCATTATTTTGTGTATTTGGTGTAACAGAATATGTTGACATGCTTTAATGTTCAAAAAACACATTATTTTTCAAATACTGTACATTATTGTAGGTCCTCTATGCCCCGCCTCTCTCAAACGCTTCGTTTTCTACAAAGCCCCCTCCTT